TGCCTCGTGCCCCTTCACCGACAGATCACAAAAGCACGCAAGCCAGTTCACGGTGTGAGTAATTGCCGCCGACTCCCCTGGTCCCCCGACCGCGAATGTTAATGCCGTCACTTATGTATGCGCCATTGAACTTTAGCGAAATGCGAAACACTGCGCGAAACCCCCAAGTTCAAGTTCAATTATTATTATTATCCGGGCGCCGGCGACATCAACGCAGCCACCGCTATTTCAGCCGCGATAGTCCCGGTGCAGCGGCGGCACAAGCGTGGGATGAGATTTCCTTTACGGTTCTCATAAATTAATTAGCGATGAGTGGCTGATATCTAAATATATATACACACATATATATAGCAAAAAACCAAAGGTCATCCATATAGCTTAACAGACTGTTGGGGCAAGTTCTGTTAGCAAACACTTACGAAGACCAGCGCAGCAGGGGGTGCGTGGAAAACACCATGCCCGGCCGCCTTTGTCTCCCTACTGGCGATCTTTACACATCACACCAGGTACTCATTTGAGGCCGAGTCGGCCTAGGGAGGCCCAGAACCGGTTCATATAATCGCCACTGGTTGTTTTGCCATGAGTGGGAATCGAACCCGGGTCGCCAGATTCGTAGCGCAGCGCACTAACCGCCACACTACCGCTCCCCGTATAAGTATATTTTTAAAAAAACATGTTTTATATATATATACATAGAACACACGCGCGTGTTCAGTTAACGTTTCAGGCCACTGCTCTTCTTGAGGGTGTCGCAGGGACTTCCAAAGCAGATGATGATTTTTGTTGATTTTTTTTTTCACAGTGTGGTGTCATACGCGTCTTGTCGAATGAGGCTCAGAACTGGTACTGTATATGCGTCCACGTCGCGCTGACGTTTCGAGTCATGTACTTGTTTTCAGGGCAGAGCAAAGAGACGTGAAGGCAGATTGCCTTCTGTTGGTTGTTTTCTCAATCCGTGGCCTCCCTTAGAGTCAAGTGAGAGCTGGAGTTCTTAAGCGTTTAAACTTGTTTAAGGTTTCTTTAACATTTACTGTGTTGTGCCCCCCCCCCCCCCACTGAATTTGTATGCCCCCCTTTAAACAAGTTAACGCTACAGCATTGGGTAGGAATGGTCACTGGTACAAGGAGTGAAACGGGACCCCCACCCCACCCAGAAACCCTTTCCACCCCCTCTCACCAAAAAAGACAACAAAGATCACCCGTACAGCCTTAACAGACTGTCGGGGCAAGTGCTGTTAGCGAGCACCTATGAAGGCCGGATCGGCACACGAGAGGGTGGGTGGTCAGCACCACGCCCGGACCGCCTGTGTCTCCCCAGTGGCGATATTTACACATTGCACCAGGTACCCATTTCAGGCTGAGTCGACCTCGGAGAGGCCCAGGACCGATTCAGATAATCGTTACTGGTGTTGGCCGTGAGCGGGAATCCAACTCGGATGGCCAGCTTTCGTAGTGCAAGCCAGACGCTAACCGTTGCACCACCGCTCCCCTCCCACCACGCACCACACGTGGAGGAATCCTCGGCTCGCGGGGGCATCTGTGCAAGTCCATCGCCCTCGATCTCGGCGCCGCTGCCTCTGGGGGTGCCTGAGCCACGATGGACTCATGCTGCAGAGCTGTTTGGCACGCATTGCGTCCGTGTGTTTATTTACTTGGCGGATTTGTCCCAACTCTTTTCTTTGGCTCTTGTCGTTGGCTGCATTCCCTCCCATTAACGCGTGACCACGTGCGCGCTCGCACTACAGGGATCTCCCCCCCCCCCACCCCGCTCGCTCCGTATACCCTTAGAGAGTGTTGGATCAACGTGTTGTTCGCGAGCCCCTGTTTCGGGTCAGCACGGCGTTTGCGCGGCTGGTGAGGCCAGGATCGATCGCACCATGCCAGTTAGCCTTTGTCGGCCCAAATCTGACATTTAAGTACCGTACTCATTAAGTACTGTGCCGTGTTTACCGAGCGAAAGTCCTGCAAAACAGGTTAAGATACAACTCGCCACAACTCATCCGTGCCGCGAATCGAACTTCACGTCACCGGAGGGTTCGCAGCGCAGCACGCAAATCCATTGCGCCACCGCTCCCCATTTACAAAGACAAAGTTGCCCCGGTTAGCCTACACAAACTATTTGGACAAGTTCCGGGAGCGAGCACCTAATAAAGCCGGCACGGTATACAAGGGGGTGGTTTATCAAGCCGTTGGCTCCCCCGGTGCGCTTTCACACCTGCATCAGGTACGGATGTAAGGCTGAGTTCACCTAGGGGAGGCCCATGACCGATTCATAAATCTGTCACCGATGTTGGCCGTGAGCGGGAGTTCAAACTCGGATCGCCGGATTCATAGAGCGGCTGTACCACCGGTACAGACAGAGAACCAGACACGCACGAGCAAATTATGAGAGCAAAAAAATAATAATCATTAGCGTGGTATGGGGTTGGGGTACAAATATAGAGAGACTCGCAATGCTTTGTTATAGGGCATGCCGTTGGCAGACGTTCAGAAGATGCGTGTGTTGTGAGAATAACCCACTTGTGCGCATTACGCAATGAACACGCACGCGTCACCGCCGTGTGCGTATTGTTACCGGTGCTGGCACTCCACTGGGGTGGACTCAGCCCTCAATGAGTTTCTGGAGAGGTGTGTAAACATCGCTGTTGAAGAGATGCCGGCGAATAGCACCACCCCCCGTGCGCCGAACCCAAATCAGGCTTGATAGGCGCTCGCTAACAGAACGTGTCTCATTCTGTTTGTCGTTGTCACTGCTGCTGCATATGGGCCGCACCTTTGTAATGTGTGTAAAGCACTCGCGTACCATGTGCACATGGACAGACACACACGCAGTTACACTCTACACTACTGAATATTGTCGTTAATTTATTACCTACTCTGCAAGAACACAGACACGCAAAGTGAATATACGTCGTTGCCAACACATGTCAGAAACACCGCTGTGTATTTTTCTTTTCCTCGGCAGAGTTCATAACGAATGTGCAGAGCTGTGTGGTTTTACACACGCCCGCATCCCCCTGCAGTATGCACTCGAAATATGGAAGAATATGCATGTGGTCAGGGTTTACAACATTCGGGTAAGCGTGGACAAGAATGTCTCGAGCAACGGATGATAGCCTTCGTGGGAAGGAGAGACACATGAACTGCATGGGCGGGGTGTATGTCCGGTCGTGGCTGCCTGTCAGCTTGTGTGGCTGTGTTCATGGGTGGCTTGGTGGTTAACTAGCTGGCTGGCTGGCCGGCTGTGCGGTCAGTCGGCAGGCGGTGTGGGCTGAGTGACTAGCTGACTGGGTGTGTGGGCTGAGTGACTAGCTGACTGGCTGTGTGTGTTGACCTCAAGGGGGGGCGGAGGGGGGAGCCACCGTGGCTGGCTGGGTGGATGGGTAGCTGGCTATCTGGCTGGCTGGATGGGTAGCTGGCTATCTGACTGGCTGGGTGGATGGGTAGCTGGCTATCTGACTGGCTGGGTGGATGGGTAGCTGGCTATCTGGCTGGCTGGGTGGATGGGTAGCTGGCTATCTGGCTGGCCGGGTGGATGGGTAGCTGGCTATCTGGCTGGCCGGGTGGATGGGTAGCTGGCTATCTGGCTGGCTGGGTGGATGGGTAGCTGGCTATCTGACTGGCTGGGTGGATGGGTAGCTGGCTATCTGGCTGGCTGGGTGGATGGGTAGCTGGCTATCTGGCTGGTTGGGTGGATGGGTAGCTGGCTATCTGGCTGGCTGGCTGGGTGGATGGGTAGCTGGCTATCTGGCTGGCTGGCTGGGTGGATGGGTAGCTGGCTATCTGGCTGGCTGGATGGGTAGCTGGCTATCTGACTGGCTGGGTGGATGGGTAGCTGGCTATCTGACTGGCTGGGTGGATGGGTAGCTGGCTATCTGGCTGGCTGGGTGGATGGGTAGCTGGCTATCTGGCTGGCCGGGTGGATGGGTAGCTGGCTATCTGGCTGGCCGGGTGGATGGGTAGCTGGCTATCTGGCTGGCTGGGTGGATGGGTAGCTGGCTATCTGACTGGCTGGGTGGATGGGTAGCTGGCTATCTGACTGGCTGGGTGGATGGGTAGCTGGCTATCTGGCTGGCCGGGTGGATGGGTAGCTGGCTATCTGGCTGGCCGGGTGGATGGGTAGCTGGCTATCTGGCTGGCTGGGTGGATGGGTAGCTGGCTATCTGACTGGCTGGGTGGATGGGTAGCTGGCTATCTGGCTGGCTGGGTGGATGGGTAGCTGGCTATCTGGCTGGTTGGGTGGATGGGTAGCTGGCTATCTGGCTGGCTGGGTGGATGGGTAGCTGGCTATCTGGCTTGGCTGGGTGGATGGGTAGCTGGCTATCTGGCTGGCTGGGTGGATGGGTAGCTGGCTATCTGGCTGGCCGGGTGGATGGGTAGCTGGCTATCTGGCTGGCTGGGTGGATGGGTAGCTGGCTATCTGGCTGGCTGGGTGGATGGGTAGCTGGCTATCTGGCTGGCTGGGTGGATGGGTAGCTGGCTATCTGGCTGGCTGGGTGGATGGGTAGCTGGCTATCTGGCTGGCCGGGTGGATGGGTAGCTGGCTATCTGGCTGGCTGGGTGGATGGGTAGCTGGCTATCTGGCTGGCTGGGTGGATGGGTAGCTGGCTATCTGGCTGGCTGGGTGGATGGGTAGCTGGCTATGTGGCTGGCTGGGTGGATGGGTAGCTGGCTATCTGGCCGGCTGGGTGGATGGGTAGCTGGCTATCTGGCTGGCTGGGTGGATGGGTAGCTGGCTATCTGGCTGGCCGGGTTGAAGGCTGGTTGGTCTGCTGGGTGTGTTGACAGCTGGGTGTATAGCTGGCTATCTGGCTGGTTGGCTGGGTGGAAGGCTGGGTGGATGGGAGGCTGGCTGGCGGGGTGGGGTATCTTATGGGTGGGTGTGTGTTTGTATGTGGCGCGCGCGCGCACGCACGTGCGTGTGAGTGCATGTGCGCGCGTGCGCGTGTTGGCTGGGCGGCAGGCAGGGGGCAACACCACGTGACGCCGCATACTTTCCTCTGCCTTGGGGTGTGCGCGCTGCGCCGGACGGAGGGACGCGGCGCGCAGAGAGAGAGAGAGCAGAGCGCAAGAAGACACCACCACCATCATCATCATCGCCACCACCACCAACACCAACCACTATCATCATGTCGTGGCTCATGGCGAGACCCGTAGCCAATGCCCGTCTCTGCGCACATCGTTACGGCACCCACCACCGCGCCCGATAGGCTAAAGATGGCGAGATTACAACGTGGGATTAGCGCTTGATGGGATACCCCTAACGTTGAGACAGTACACTTTTTGTGCGCGCGTGTGCGTGCGCGTGTGGGTCGCATTGTGTAACTAGTAACTAACGGCCGACAGAACGCGGCTGCCTGAGTGAGTCGTCTGTGCCGAGGGTGCTTTTTTCGTGTGTTCGCGTTATTCTGCGCGCGTGCGTTTTGGGTTGGCATCCCGTCCCCTCGTTCCAACGAGCGCATCCCACCGCGCACGAAAGTGTCACAGAGGTTGCCGCGATTTCGTCCGAAGAAGGAATTGGCATCGGCGGCGTCACGCAATCATCACCAGCAGCAGCAGCAAGCAGCAGCAGCAATCATCATCAGCAGCGTGGGACGTCAACGACATCGACAACCATCGACGTCGTCGTCCCCGTCGTCATCGTGAATATCCGCGCGACTTGGCAACTTGTCACATGGCGGGCTCGGCTCGGGCCGGCGGCTCGGGATTTGTCGCCGTCGTCGACTTGCGACCGAAGCCTTCGAAGTGGCTGCCGCTGGCGCTGCTGGCGGTGACGGGTGAGTGACACGCGTGGGGGGGTGGTGAGTGTGGGGTGTGTGTGTGGGGTGAGTGTTGGGTGGTGAGTGTGGGTGGTGAGGGTGGGGTAGTGAGGGTGGGGTGTGAGTGTGGGTGGTGAGTGTGGGTGGTGAGTGTGAGTGGTGAGTGTGGGTGGTGAGTGTGGGTGGTGAGTGTGGGGTGTGAGTGTGAGTGGTGAGTGTGGGTGGTGAGTGTGAGTGGTGAGTGTGAGTGGTGAGTGTGGGTGGTGAGTGTGGGTGGTGAGGGTGGGGTGAGTGTGAGTGGTGAGTGTGGGTGGTGAGTGTGGGTGGTGATTGTGGGGTGTGAGTGTGTGTGGTGAGTGTGGGGTGTGAGTGTGTGTGGTGAGTATGGGGTGTGGGTGGTGAGTGTGGGTGGTGAGTGTGGGTGGTGATTGTGAGTGGTGAGTGTGGGTGGTGATTGTGAGTGGTGAGTGTGGGTGGTGAGTGTGGGGTGTGGGGTGTGGGGTGTGGGTGGTCAGTGTTGGGTGGTGAGTGTGGTGAGTGTGGGTGGTGAGTGTGGCGGTGAGTGTGGGTGGTGAGTGTGGGGTGAGTGTCAGTGGTGAGTGTGGGTGGTGAGTGTGGGTGGTGAGTGTGGAGTGTGGGTGGTGAGTGTGAGTGGTGAGTGTGGGTGTGGGTGGTGAGTGTGGGGTGTGAGTGTGTGTGGTGATTGTGGGGTGTGAGTGTGTGTGGTGAATGTGGGGTGTGGGCGTGGGTGGTGAGTGTGGGGTGTGAGTGTGTGTGGTGAGTGTGGGGTGTGAGTGTGAGTGGTGAGTGTGGGTGGTCAGTGTGGAGTGTGGGTGGTGAGTGTGAGTGGTGAGTGTGGGGTGTGGGTGTGGGTGGTGAGTGTGGGGTGTTAGTGTGTGTGGTGAGTGTGGGGTGTGGGTGTGGGTGGTGAGTGTGGGGTGTGAGTGGTGAGTGTGGGGTGTGGATGTGGGTGGTGAGTGTGGGGTGTGAGTGGTGAGTGTGGGGTGTGGGTGGTGAGTGTGGGGTGTGGGTGGTGAGTGTGGGTGGTGAGTGTGGGTGGTGAGCGTGGGTGACTCACGTGGGGTGACTCGTGTGTTTGTGTGTCTACGCGTTTATGTTTATTTGTGTGTGTGTTTGTCTACGCGTGTGTGTGTTTTTGTTTGTGTGTGTTTGTGTGTGTGTATGTTTGTGTGTTTATGTGTGTGTGTGTTTATGTGTGTGTATGGGTGTGTGTTTGTATGTATGTGTTTGTGTGTATGTATGTGTGTGTTTGTGTGTTTGTATATGTGTGTTTGTGTATGTATGTGTGTGTTTGTATGTGTATGTATGTGTTTATGTGTGTGTTTGTATGTGTATGTATGTGTTTATGTGTGTGTTTGTGTGTATGTGTGTGTTTGTCTGTGTGTGTGTATATGTGTGTGTATGTGTTTATGTATGTGTGTATGTATGTGTGTGTTTGTGTGTGTGTTTCTGTGTGTTTCTGTGTATGTGTGTGTGTATGTGTGTGTCTCGTTACACGTGTGTGTGTGTCTCGTTACACGTGTGTGTGTGTGTCTCGTTACACGTGTGTGTGTGTCTCGTTACACGTGTGTGTGTGTGTGTCGTTACACGTGTGTGTCTCGTTACACGTGTGTGTGTGTGTCTCGTTACACGTGTGTGTTTCGTTACACGTATGTGTGTGTGTGCGTGTTGTTACACGTGTGTGTGCGTTTTGTTACACGTGTGTGTGTGCTAGATGTTTGCGTCTTGTTACACGTGTGTGTGTTGGATGTTTGCGTTTCGTTAAACGTGTGTGTGTGTGTGCTGCATGTGTGCGTCTGGTTATATGTGTATGCTCTGCATGTGTGGGTCTCGTTACACGTAAGTGTGTGTGCTGTATGTGTGCGTGTGTGTGCTGCATGTGTACGTACATTTACACGTGTGTGTGAGTGATGCGTATGTGCGTCTCGTTCCACGTGTGTGTGTGAGTGATGCGTGTGTGCGTCTCGTTACACGTGTGTGTGTGAGTGATGCGTGTGTGCGTCTCGTTCCACGTGTGTGTGTGAGTGATGCGTGTGTGCGTCTCGTTCCACGTGTGTGTGTGATGCATGTGTGCGTCTCGTTCCACGTGTGTGTGTGAGTGATGCATGTGTGCGTCTCGTTACACGTGTGTGTGTGAGTGATGAGTGTGTGCGTCTCGTTACACGTGTGTGTGTGAGTGATGCGTGTGTGCGTCCCGTTCCACGTGTGTGAGTGATGCGTGTGTGCGTCTCGTTACACGTGTGTGTGTGAGTGATGAGTGTGTGCGTCTCGTTACACGTGTGTGTGTGTGAGTGATGCGTGTGTGCGTCTCGTTACACGTGTGTGTGTGTGATGCGTGTGTGCGTCTCGTTACACGTGTGTGTGTGAGTGATGCGTGTGTGCGTCTCGTTCCACGTGTGTGTGTGAGTGATGCGTGTGTGCGTCCCGTTCCACGTGTGGGTGTGAGTGATGCGTGTGTGCGTCCCGTTCCACGTGTGTGTGAGTGATGCGTGTGTGCGTCACGTTACACGTGTATGTGTGTGATGCGTGTGTGCGTCTCGTTCCACGTGTGTGTGAGTGATGCGTGTGTGCGTCTCGTTCCACGTGTGTGTGAGTGATGCGTGTGTGCGTCTCGTTCCACGTGTGTGTGAGTGATGCGTGTGTGCGTCCCGTTCCACGTGTGTGTGAGTGATGCATGTGTGCGTCCCGTTCCACGTGTGTGTGTGTGATGCATGTGTGCGTCCCGTTCCATGTGTGTGCGTCTCGTTACACGTGTGTGTGTGAGTGATGCGTGTGTGCGTCTCGTTCCACGTGTGTGTGTGAGTGATGCGTGTGTGCGTCCCGTTCCACGTGTGTGTGTGTGATGTGTGTGTGCGTCTCGTTCCACGTGTGTGTGTGAGTGATGCTGTGTGTGCGTCCCGTTCCACGTGTGTGTGTGATGTGTGTGTGCGTCTCGTTCCACGTGTGTGTGTGAGTGATGCGTGTGTGCGTCCCGTTCAACGTGTGTGTGTGTGATGCGTGTGTGCGTCTCGTTACACGTGTGTGTGTGAGTGATGCGTGTGTGCGTCCCGTTCCACGTGTGTGTGTGTGATGCGTGTGTGCGTCCCGTTCCACGTGTGTGTGTGAGTGATGCGTGTGTGCGTCCCGTTCCACGTGTGTGTGTGAGTGATGCGTGTGTGCGTCTCGTTAGACGTGTGTGTGTGAGTGATGCGTGTGTGCGTCTCGTTACACGTGTGTGTGTGTGTGCGATGCGTGTGTGCGTCTCGTTACACGTGTGTGTGAGTGATGCGTGTGTGCGTCTCGTTACACGTGTGTGTGAGAGTGATGCGTGTGTGCGTCTCGTTACACGTGTGTGTGTGTATTTGCACGCGTGTTAAGTGCCACTTGCATTTGTGTCAGCGTAGCCAATGCCATCAGGACGTCGCACTCACTCCCCGATGGTACCCTGTTCACAAGTCACACTTTCTCTGACACGCACATACATGTGCAATGATCCCCCCCCCTCCGTCTAATCGATGTACACTGCTCGGGTAAGTGCTGTTCGCGAGCACCTATTAAGGCCGGCGTGTCGTCAGCATCGCATCCGGCCGCCGATGTTGTTTATACACAGCGCCAGGTGGCATTGTGTGTAGCCCCAGGGCCGGTCCATGAATGTGCGTTGAACTTCTTTCGCACCGTACGTAGCCGACCGTGCTAATAGGGTGTCACTCGCGCCACTGATGTTAGCCGTGGCCGCGAATCTAACTCACTCAAAGGCCAAGAGACCCCTCGTGTAGCCCACTCCGCAGGTTGGTTGTGGCAAGGGATGTTAGCGAGCACCTATTGATGTCAGCAAAGGAGGACGAGTGGGTGGTGTGGCCGGTTTTGTGTCTCCGCAGTGCTGATGTTGTACACGCAGCACCAGGTATCAAGTTTCAAGTTTCATTGATTTGGTATAGCCTTGTGAGCCATGCGGCTCTTAAGCCGTGTACGTTTGAGTCGACCTAGAGGGAAAGGCCTGGGACCGGTACTGACATTGGTGACTGATGTTTGCCGTGCGCGGAAATCACACACACTCAAATCACACACACTCAAATCACACACACTCAAATCACACACACTCAAACCACACACACACTCAAATCACACACACACACTCAAGCCACACAATACTCAAATCACACACACACACTCAAATCACACACACACTCAAACCACACAATACTCAAATCATACACACACACTCAAACCACACACACATACTCAAACCACACATCACACACACACACTCAAATCACACACACACTCAAACCACACAATACTCAAATCATACACACACACTCAAACCACACACACATACTCAAACCACACATCACACACACACACTCAAATCACACACACACTCAAATCACACACACACACTCAAAGCACACACACCCTCAAACCACACACACACTCAAATCACACACACACACTCAAACCACACACACACACTCAAATCACACACACACTCAAATCACACACACACTCAAACCACACACACACTCAAATCACACACACACACTCAAACCACACACACACACTCAAATCACACACACACACTCAAACCACACACACACACTCAAATCACACACACACTCAAATCACACACACCCTCAAACCACACACACACTCAAATCACACACACACTCAAATCACACACACACTCAAACCACACACACGCACTCAAACCACACACACTCAAATCACACACACTCAAATCACACACACTAAAATCACACACACACTCAAATCACACACACACAGACTCAAATCACACACACACTCAAATCACATACACACTCAAACCACACACACACTCAAACCACACACACAGACACTCAAACCACACACATACACTCAAACCACACACACTCAAATAACACACACTCAAATCACACACACACACTAAAATCACACACACACTCAAATCACACACACACAGACTCAAATCACACACACACTCAAATCACATACACACTCGAACCACACACACACTC